CTGCACATTTTCTGTATTTCCACATAAGCAATTATATTGTTTTTTATGTCTTTAAACATTATATAATATTATTTTATGCACTGTCATCATTTTTCAAATATTGAGACTTTCATCATGTGACTTTGGTCTCTCATGGTCCTGAAACTGTAATCTTATTGAAGGGGTGGATTGAGACCATCTTCTGGGTCTTCTGGAAGACAGGTTATTAAGTTTATATTGACTGGTATCTATTTTTTTCTGTTGGAAGACCATCAAAATGGAGGATGGATCAACATAGATACTTTGGAATACTGTCAGAAAATATCTCAGGGTCCGCTCCTGTTATTGACCATGTTACCTGTTGTGCATGATTAAAATTCAGTGTTGACTGACAGTGCTATTATAAGCATTATTTATTATTGCATCAAAATTGACAAAATGACCTTTTTTTATATCTTTATTTTCTGTTTTTTGTCTGTACATTTGACAGCTTTGCTGCCTTGTTAGGGAAGTTATGATGTTTTTTCACTTTTTTCAACATATATATGCAATACAGATAACGTGATAAGTGAAGAACCCATTTACCTTTTGGCTTGAAACTTACAGAACTGATAAATATTCATAATACGCAGGTCAAGTTCGAAATTCAGCATGATCCGGCCAATTTTAGGGAAGTTATGATGTTTTTTTTTTCAAAATTTTCAGCATTTTTATAACACGGAAAACAAGATCAGTGTAAAAATGTTTTTCCCTTTGGATTGAAACTGATGAATATTCATAATACGCAGTTCAAGTTCAAAAATTGGCTTGATTGGACTATATTTACAACAGTTATGCTGTTTTTTCCCTTATTCAGCATATATGCAACACTGATAACACATTTTAAGGAAAACCAATCATTCACTATGTTCAGAATCTGTGAATGGAACAAATTGGACATTTAAAATTGTTCTATTGATATTTTTCCTATGTCAACAATTTTTCTAGATCATTTAAAAATGACAGTAAATTGATTATTTTGTTTTATGTAAAAAGGTGTTGAAAATGGAAAGAAAATCATTTCAGTACAGTTATCTCTTGTTTACATTTTGGCATTTTGAATGTGTGACTCTGAACTTCCATGGTCTTGAAGACCTTCCCATATCACATTTTCTGAATATCCATGATACTTTTTATTTTTTATAAAAAATTGATGGTCATTATGCTGTTAAGTAGTGTGTTATATTGCATGAAAGTTGAAGAAACCCGTATTTTGGACACTGCTGCCAGGATAGCGATTAAGGGAAAACCATGTTACTTATGATACTCAAATTTACTGAAAATTTTCATAAGACTGAAGTGCAGCTTGTGTTGGAAAACCAGTGTGATTGTTTTCTGTTTTGGAAGCAATGCAGTTCAATAGAGTGAACTATGGTGCAATAAATGTATATGGCAGTATATTAATTCAGGGTCATAAAGGAGTAATATTTACTAACACGGGATCACTAAAGAAAACCTTAGAAAATCTAAAACAAAAAGCCCTCAAAGCAATCTTTGCCTTAAAAGGAGCACTAGCATCAAATGAAATCTCCTCTCCACTCCTTACAATGTCACTCTTTGACAAAATGATAAAGCCCATACTACTTTATGGGTGCGAAGTCTGGGGACAAGAAATATTATCACAAAAAAAGATGACTTTGGAAAAACTAAATGAAATGCCTTTCGAGCAAGTACACTTGAAATTTTGTAAGTTGGCATTAGGTGTAAGGAAATCTGCCAGCAATAATGCCTGCCGAGCAGAAATGGGTCGCTTCCCAATATATTTGGACATAGTAAAATTAGTCTCAAAATACAGTGCTAGACTCCAAGAAATCCCAGATAACAGAATTGTTAAACAAGCATATAACAGGGAAAAAATAGAAAATGGAAGTAACTGGTATCAGACAATGTCAAATATTAAAATATGTTGGGAACTTAATACAAACAGACATTATTGCGAAATCCACAACTACCCAGATCTTGAAATAGAAATAACTAATGAAATAAAACGAAAACTTTGGGAAGAAATCCATAGAAATACCAACAACAAACTCCGCACCTACAGCAAAATTAAGAAATCCTATGAAGCTGAGCCATATTTGGAATTAAAATTCCCTTTTACATATAAAAAAATTCTAGCCAAAATGAGGGTCAGTGACCACGAGTTAGAGATTGAAAGAGGCAGATATACCCACCCCAAGTGTCCTCACTGTAATGCAGTGGAAGATGAAGCTCACTTTTTTCTTGAGTGTACTACTTATAAACTAGACAGAGAAACATTATTTGCTGCCTTACCAGAGGTAAATGTGCAGGGTCTAGAAGACGATACACTGTCCGCCCTATTAAATGTGGCAAATGAGAGAGGTGTGTCCGCACTTGTAAAGTTTATACACAGTGCTATGAGAAAACGGAAGCTATCTAAATTGAGATAACACCTGTAACTTTATTATTACTATGTATGTGTATTTAAACTTAAGTATATTATAATTAGTAGTGTAGAGAGCCTATAAATGTACACTCATTTCATGTGCTGTACTTTATTATTATAAAGTAATTTGCTTAATTGATTTTCAAGTGGCCATTAAATGAGATTACATAAAACACACGTTCATAAAGTAATTTGCTTAATTAATTTTCAAGTGGCCATTAAATGAGATTACATAAAACACACGATGAGATTTCATTGTAAAGTCCCCTGGGTATATCTCTCTTAACTGTGTCACATAATTAGGAATCCGTGATTATTGTGCAGGTAAATGTTAGTCATGCTAGTAATTACACAGCTAGATTTAAAGTTTGAATAGCAGCTTTATTGGAATTTTTTGTTATGTTTTATTTTACATTTTTTTAAAAATTATTTATCAAACCCTAGCATCTTCAAGATATTACTTTCAACTCCCATCCACCAGAAGCACTGTGCATTTTCTGTTTTTCCACATAAGGAGTTGTGTTGGTTTTTATGTCTTTAAACATTGTGTAATTATATTATTTTATGCACTGTCATCTTTTTTCACATACTGGGATTTTCATTATGTGAATTTGAACTCTCACATATGGTCCTGAAACTGTAATCTTATTGACCATGTTATTCTGTTGTACA